ACTATTATACACTGGAACTTAGAAATTGTAAATTATTTTTTTTTGATGTGGGCGTGTCAACCGATTGATTGGAGGAAGAGTTTATACTAGGTTTCATTACAAAATTTATCAAAATTTTCATTGGCCATTCTAGGCGCGTTTGTCCTTCCGTCCTTCTGTCATTTTGTACCAGCCTTTGCAGAGCTCTACCAAATACGCTGTACGTGGCGCATACAGACGGACGACATCGTAAGAATCCGAAAAGGCCAAGTTGTTTCGGAATTCCTACCCAACAACAATAAAAATACTTAAAGTATTCTCTCTGACAAATATTGAGGTGTGTGTTGCAAACGATACCACAAATCTAGTATACCGTATATTACAAAATTGAATGCATTCTGTATTTATTTTGCAGGATTTTGCTGGTATTTAAATAAATTAAAGCTCAATTTTTTTTTGTTTTTTTGTGTGTGCTTCGTTCTCGACGAGGACTTGTTTTTCTTGTTAACACAAGCACATTGTCACTGTTCAATATGTTACAAAATTTAGAAACCATGTACTTCACAAATTATGATGAACAAACAAATTTTTTTTTTATTTTTTTTTTTTTTTTTTTTTTGTTATTAATTTTTTATATAGACACACAAATGTATGTATACTTCATGTTCAATGCACTATTTATTAGTGTCATGCTAGAAATCATTTTCAAAGCCGCTTTTTACAGTGTCTTTTAATGAAACTTTTTCTACACAAATACACACACATAAAATGAATCCGTGTTTTTTCATTTTTGCTTACGCCAGGCGCACTCACCTTATCATATAGAAACCAGTAGAGGATGAAGTTTGATAAAATATTTCACAAGGGACTGTGTCAAGTTTTTTAAAAGGTAAGAAACTTTTTTTTATTAAAATTGAAGTCTGTTATTAAAAGCCATTGATAAATGAAAATGTATAATGCTCTTCTCGCTGTAACTTAGTAGAATAATGATCAAAAAAATGAAACTAAGTAAATTTTGTTCCTTCATAATAATAATAAGGGGGCGTGTCCGTTTCTATCTAAAATACAATGTATTTTCATGTGTCGAACATATAGAACAATTTTCAACATTTCACCCTGTTGACCTTGAGTGAGTGACAGCGGGACAATACTAAGCAAAACGGGAGATATGAAAATGTGATCACCTACGATCTTGTGTGGACGAAGGTGATCTTTTTGGTCCCCCATAAACTAAATATAGAATTAATAAGAGACTTCTTTCATAGCAAAAGTCCATACACCTTGAAAGGGAAAGAAAATACTTTTTCCACTGACGATTTCATTAATTCATAGAAATTTGAAAGTATAAATTCGTTCGTTGAGCCAGGAGTTTTCATTGACCAAGGCTACCTTTTAAATTGCATACAGAGTTCACCATAAAGAATGATAGCGTTGAGCTCTCTAAAACGGTGATCTAGATAGTTTGAGGGTCCATATATGAGAGTAGGATTTCTCATGAGTTTGGTAAGGTTTGAATATGTCTCTGCCGTGTTGTTCCCTTCCTATAGGTCTTATGACAACAACGTGTATAAAAGCCATAAAGGAAATGTAGAAAATTGCACTCATTTATCTTCTATAACTTCTGACTAATGAGCTAAAATCCCTAAAATTTTACCTTAGAGAAACAGATATGATTTCAGTTTACCCTCTATTCGATTCGGCTCATTTTTAATAGTAACCTTCGAGCAAAAATTTCCATAATTGTTGTTTCAAATTTGAAATCGAAATCTTAATTTTTACCACTAAGAGGGAGACAACAACGCACATCTGCACAGACGAGCAGACTGCCCAATCCATTCACCAGTTGACGCTGGTCAAGAATTTATAAATCTTCTAAGATGTTTGGAGCTTCCTTTTAGGTGTTGCAGAGATCACGACAAAATGAGTATACACCCTTCCGTTGGTAGTGGGCCTATAAAATAGTAGAAAATGTAGCAGTGAGATAATTGCCCAACGTTAAGTACTACACTCGCCGTTGCACATAACTTCCGTGAAGAAAGACCAAAGCGTATTCTGAACGTGTTCACGAAAGAAGGCATTTTTGAGTATCGTCATAATTACGGGCAAACTATGAGCTATCAAACCAAATTAATCAGAAAGAGCGCCATCTATGGACTAACTGGAATGAAATAGCACGTGCTGCTAACGTTCTTTATATGAAGTCCAACGCCCATACGTTGACAAGATATTCTATAATGATTTCTTGAACATGCGGCCACTCGCTTTCACTGTGAATCGCGTCATAAAATTGCCTTTTACGTTGAAGTTAATTGTTCTCTTAGCCAACGCTACGGTATTTATACTCTACACCACTTGTCGTACCGGGTATATTAAGCTTGCGCGGACGTATGTAACACGTAGGAGGCCTTAAGACAGACCCACCCTTAATTATACCTATCGATTCAGAATTAGTTTCTCAATCAATCCAAGGCTGTCTGTCCATGTATATAGTGTTCAAGTACTAGCGAACAAGTTTTGAAATATTTTAATGAAATTTGGTGCACTGACGTGTAGTACGGACACTATGGAAAATGGTTTGCAGTATATTCCGGCACTCTAAATTGCTTTGAAAGCCTTTGACCGACTCGAGCAACTTTTTGAATCCCCTCTCATATAATTTTCAATGCTTTAAAATGAAAATCAGGGATTTTCATGAAAGCAGTAGCAAAAGATATCCGATCTAATCCATTTTTAATAAGGTTCGTTCTTGCGTCAAAATAGGTCAGTGCACTGAACTTTGCAAAAAAAAAAAGATCTCAAAAATTGTCAGCTATGTATATTAATCAGGCGGACAGACAAGTTTAAATCGATTCGGGAAATGATTCTAAATTCTTTGGCTTACTAAAAGGTGGGTGCAACGTCCTTTTATCGACAGAAACTGACACTGTACACACATGTAGTGGAGGGCATAAAATTGCATCCAGATGGTAGGGAAGGGTTGAACCGATTTTGCTATTAATAAAGAACGCCATGTTGATCAATTAAGTCCAATTTTTAAAAAGAAAAATTATACTACTCAGGCCGGGAAATTATTCACCGCTGCATTGCTTTATATTGTTATGTTGCTCGTCGTGGGTGCCTAGAAGCAATTTTATTACTATATGCCTTTCTTTTTTTGTGGGAAAGTTGTTTGACATTTTTATTGTGGTGTTACCTTGTTATTGAATACTTCTTAAGATCAAGCTCCTTCGGCTGAATTGTGATTTTCGGGATACTATTTTATTTTTTTTTTTGTACAATCCTTAGGAGATCTATTTACAAATTATTTACGAGGGCTAATATTAACAATGCTTTATTTTCCGTCCTGGTCTTATACGTACGAATATAGCAATGCAACCCTCTCAAGTAGACCCTAACTTGCCTTCAGCAAAAATGCTGCTTATAGAGCCCTTTATAAGGCAATTACCATCACCTGAATTGATCGCGACATTTTTATAGTGATCCATACTGTCGCCAGCGGCGAGAGCCAAGGCCGATAGTGTCTTTAGTTTTTTCTTTGGAATTTTTCACTGTTTCATGAAAACTGAAGTCATCAGATTTACGATTTTCGTAACAAAATAATATAAGATAGATTTGAAATCTGTTAAAATATTAAAAATATTAATGCAAAAGTTGAAAGCTTCTAAGTGTTTTTCTACGACTATCATCATTGCAGCAACAGACGGTTAACGGACAGAAGAATGAAAACGAAATCTTTACATTGTATGGAGATCACATCATACAACTCCACCTTTAGCTGCTGAATATCAAAATGTATGTCTTTTGTCAGCTCTGTACCGTTCTTGCTTGGCAGGTTGTGGCAGCGAAGTTGAGAGACATGTTAAGAAATAATAAAAATGTATTTTTCGTTCTAAATTTAAATGATTTCTTTATTTTTATTTTTTTTTGTTCTTTTTTCTTTTTAATTTATAAAAATGTTTTTCAAACAATAGAAAGCTTAAAAACTATGGCAGAGAAATGCACTCAATGTTTAATGTAATTAATAACTTGAAATAATTAATAATTTCTTCTTTGTTTTTTTTTGTTTTTTTTTTTGATGAAGACTTAAAAGAAGACTTGCGTTTAATTTTTAATATATATAATGTTTATAACTTTTTTTCTTTTTTTTTCTTTTACTTTTTTCAGTCGCCTTACGCTCGATATTAAAACATTATAAAATTCTTATACGCTTTACCTTAAAACCTAACTGTTCGTGATGTTTTCATAAAGTTACATTACATTACATTTATATTATAATTATCGATAAAATCAATGTAAGCTGAATTAATTATTTTTACAGGCTATATAAAAAATGTATAAAATTTATTTGACAATAGTTCATAAAAACATACATTTCTACTACCACTTAGATATGTTTATCAAAATGTATATCATATTTGAGAATAAATGCATGCGCTGGTATAATTTCTTGTCTTCCTTCTTCTTTTCTTTTTTTTTTTTTTTCTTTCTTCTAATAAATGACTGCAAAATATTTTCGTAAAACTGTCTGAATCTAAACAGGAATCATTTCCAATTTTTGATTAAATTTCATCTGCTGACATCGATGCCAAAACAAATAAAAGAATCCATGTCAATGCTTTAGTTGAAAATTTTCCAATTTTTCTACATTCAGACAATATCATCATCATATGAATCAACTTAGCTAGGATCGTTCGCTAGTCTATTATTTGATTTTTAAAAATGAAATTTGAAATTGTATTTGCCTTTTGCCTTTTACTTTTCCTCTCCTTTCCTTCGCACATTATCTTAGAGAGAATATGATGAATGGAGTTTTCTATGAACATATCTCAAAATTGGGCAATAAATAACTTAAACTTTTCTCTTGTGTTTCATGTTTGGCAGCTATTCCCCCTAATGGAGTGTAGAGGCCACATACAAGCCTTTTTTTGTGGTGGAAATATATGTATATGTGTATTGCACCACCCAAGAGAAATCTTTAAAGATACTATGATGTATTTATATATATTCTCGATTAACATCAATTTCTGAATTGATTTCAGTGTGTCCATCTGTCCATCTGCTTAATTTCGTTGGTAAACGTTCCCCTGGTCGCAAAAATGAATATATAGCGCGTAGACCATCGAATGTTGTTGCGTCCGTCTGTCTGTCCATCTATGTAATGTCGACTTCAAATTTGACAGAAACATTGGGAAGTTGGAGGTTGGTGTTGAAAATGGTCCGCCGAAAGTACACCGCAGACTGAGGACATGTCTTTCTGGGTTATCCACAAAAAATCTCACGAAAAACTCCTAAAGATATGTTACAAAAACGAAAAGGATCACCCACGGTCACGGAACACTTACTTTATCCGTTTCTTTGTAAGCCTTTTTGTAAGAAAAAAACGATTCTAATTTTCTCACTTCTTTTCCGCTAATAATAAAGTGAAAAATGGTTGTTTACCTAAATTTTACAGCAAAGAGCGAAAAATAATGTATTCCTTCGTTTCGTTAGTTCAAGGATTGGAAAGTTCCAGAAAATGATCAAAATTTGCAATTTGAAATTATTATTTTTTTTTTCTCAAAATATTTACTTTGGAATGACGCAAAAAATTAACTTTGTTTTAATAGATTTGTTTTTATACATAGATATTTTCAGTCATTTCGAATTATTACTAATAATTTTTTTTTTTTTTTTTTTAACTAATATGTGTGTTTAGAGAAACATCACCACAACATATTGCCCGTGAATTATATATTTTATGTATATATATATATATAGATATTGATTATTATAAAATTACAGCTAAATTATAAAAATTCTTATAAATCAAAGACTGTCTTATATGATGTATATTTTTTGGCTTTCAATTTGTTACGGAATCTAATTTTCTAGTAATTATTTATCCACACTTTGTATAGCTTTACTTAAGGCAGAACATAGCTGGCTAAAGGAAGGCCTCTCTTTCGGGTTGACATTCCAGCACGAAGCCTAAAAATGATTGATAATAATTGATTATTGTTAATAGTAATTAATTTCATATTGCTCATACACACACACACACACACACACACACACACACACACACACACACATAAATAATACTTTCTTACCAATATTTCCTTAAGACTGTCTGGTGTGGCATCGGCGCACTTCCATTCAAGTTTACCCGCTTGACTATATTTTATCACGTCTTCATTACTCAATTCCTCAAAAGGCAATTTAGCGGCCTGAGTAAACAGCTCCCATACAACAACGGCAAAGGCAAAGATATCACTTTTCGTTGTATACTCATCCTCTTGAATACATTCCGGGGCCAACCATCTAATCGGTAATAATAAATTGCGATGCTTATAATACTCTTTGCTGTATTTATCTTTACACAATGCCGGATATGATACTTTTACTATAAAATCACTGGAAATTATGCAATTACGTGAAGCCAAATCTCTACAACAACAACAACAACAGCAACAAATAAATAGTGGAAAAAAAAACATAATAGTATCAAAATAGATGACAGCAACAGATGTTTCAGACTTATTTACTTATGTATGAAACGGGAACGATAAATAGCATCCATTCCTCTTGCTATTTGATAAGCAACAGCGAGAATTTGTCCTTTTTGTAGAGGAGGAGGCGGTTGTGATGATGACGAATTAATTGAGGTATTTACTTTACCAGCAGTTGCCAAAAGAAATTGTTTTAAATCGCCCTGCAACGAGATAATAATGACATTACCGTGTACTTTAGAAACTTCAGCAAACAAGTTCTGTTGATGTTGAATATAAAAACTTTTACAACAAATTTATAATCAATTTCAATACAATTCATAACCAATTACTCCGCAAATAGTTTTCTCGTTATAACTCGATCAAACTATATATCTACTTAAGGTATCTCTACCAAAGGTATCTAAATTTATTGCATTTTGATCAGCGTGGAACTCTGAATTGATTAACCCATGCCTGTCTGTCTGTGTGTCCGTGTGTGGCATTGGCACTCCCCTGGTCGCGGCGAAGATATCGACTTCAAATTTGGTAGGAACATTGGAAGTTTTTGCAGGTAAGTTGGTATTGAAAATGGGCGAAATTGATCAGAGTAATAAAAGCCCGCAGTGGAGCATAAACTGAACGTATCTTCGTTTTTTTTAACAAAGATTTATGGATTTTTGCTCGTTACTCAGAAATTCTAAAAGCTAGAAGACTGATATTTTCCACATTTACTTTACGAAACATTCTGTTCTCTACGTGCAGAATGGCAAAAATTGAACACGCGCACACAAAGTTACAAGCGATTAAATTTTCGTTTCTTTTCCGGTGTTATGTTTATTTATCATAACGCAAACAAGATAAAATGTTTAAACCTATTTTGTACATTCCTCAAGTGAGGATGTATATTATCTGCCTAACAATGGGTTAATTCTAAAATAAATATGATAAATGCAGCGAATAATTTTTTCTTAATAAAACCAGCGATATGGGTATCAAATAAAAGAAAATGCAGAGCGGAATGCGAAAGGCGTAGTGCTGGGTATGCGAGATTCGACCTCCGCCGATTATAACTTTCTTACTTGTTCTAGGTTTGCAAGGCATTTAAAATTTTGGATCATCTATTTATCAGGACGTAATGACTGGATTTGGTGAAATGATATTTTTTAGCTTTTCTAGCTTATTAACGATTCATGGAGATTTGTCCGATTTTCAACCATTAGATCATTTAGAACCTCACTAAACTAGCAATAAAATAACAAACAACAATTTATTTTCACTATGTTTGTCCTTAATTTTAACATACTTTCCCCCGAGGGTTTCCAATTTATTTACTCCCACTTGAATAGGTTTTTCTTTAAGCCCTTTAAAATTACTGCCAATCGCTGCTTTTAGTTCTTTCGCTAAACAATTTGATTTTATTCGGAATAAAGCCCATGATAACATGAGCACTGGTTGGCCGTCGTAAGAAAATGCTTGTAATACAGTGCGATTTCTTAATGAAAAATTATCCGAAACGGCATCGTATTGCATTCCTCCGGACATCATATCCTATTACTGGTAATCAGTAAAGAGGAGGCTTTTTGTACTCAAAATATTTCCTGTTCGATGATAGGAAAGACTTTTTCTCTTTTGGAGCAAGTTCTCATCACAATAGTAAACCAAAGTTCTTTATCCAAATCCCAAACGGCAGAAAAAGTGAGTTGTATTTATTTCATGTTATTATTTTTTTTTAAATGACCCAAATATGCCTAAAGAAGTCGATCTGTTCAATACTTTTTTCATATCTAATTCAACATTTTAATTAAGATGTCAATAGGCTCAGGTCCACAGCATTTCATCACATTTATTTGTCGATCTCCACAAGACATATTTCTATAGTGGCTGAACGTCTTTAATGTAACCAGACGACCTGTGTTCCTGTATCCCTAATCCCTCAGCATATTGGATCCTATATGAAACGATGCAATGGAGAACGCAAGGCAAATCTATCGTCCCACGAGTACCACGAGAAGGTGCCAATAGCGCTATTATTCTACTGCTGTCGGAAGCTAGGCGGAATTATACATAACTTAAGAGCCGATTTCCAAGAGCTATAGATTATGGGTCTAAACATTAGGAATGAGCAAGAAAACTGATCTGAGAGAATTATTTATTCTAAATGTGCTTTTTTCTTCCGGGAAGCTCTGCGTTCCATTCCTTAGTTGTGTTTTGACGCTTAATTTTTCGTTCGCAATGAGCAATAGAGAAACTTGGTCGAGAAATTTATATTGATTCCTGTGTCTTGAGGCACAGAATTGTAGAGAGTAAAAAAATATATTTCGAGAATGAACTTAACTTTTACTTACCCAATCTGTATATTCCAAAACCATATAATGTGGATCTTTTTCTCGACACAAGCCGTACAGTCTAACCACTCCTTTATGTGTTAAAGTCCTAAACATTTCAATTTGCCTCTTAAATTCTTGGCAAATATGTTCGTCTTTGATTTTATTTAAAGCCTTCACCATAACTAGTTTGTAGTCATCGCCTGCATTGGAGTTGGCTTGGTGTGAAGCGCCATTGCCGGTATCGTGCTCTTCTCGTATTTCTTCGATATCATCCATTGAAGTCTTCGAACGTCTTTTAACTTCTACCGAGGTACTGGTAGTGGTTGCCGATCCGTTACCGTTATCACTATTGGTATTACTTTGTTTCTCCGTATCGCTATCCTTGTCCTCGCATTGTTTAATTTGCGAAGCTTTGATTTTGCCGACGTAAACATCGCCAAACTCACCGCGACCGATCTGTATAAGCTCGCTAATACCGGATCGCGAGAAACTAAGCTGATCGTAAATATTTGAACGCTTAGATGTTTTTGAATGATTACTGCAAGCGGTATCATCAGATTTTTGAGCCTCATTGCAGCTGCTGCGTTGAGTGTAACTGCCGTTTGTTTTGCGTACCTTCTTCACTGAAGAACTATCCGGAAGACAAGGTTCGCTTTCGGCATTTTTATCACCTTCTTCCCCTACTTCAGGATTTTCGCGATTCGCCTCACTCAAACGTGCCTTACGAGCCTGCCGCCTATAGCGACACCAAATCATTAGACCAACCACCAAAACTATGTAAGCTAAAGCCACAGACATGGTGATCAAAACAGCACGTGTTATGAGGAGACCATCGCCACCATCTTCATTATCTGGTACTAGTATAAAAAATTAAGACAATCATTATTAGATTTATATATTCAAGTCGTAGAATATCTGAACTTACTTACATTTAACAATAAAACGAACTTCTTCTCTCTTAAGACCGGCACTGTTGCCAATCGTACATCCATATATACCTTCGTCTTTTTGTTGAACGTTGCGTACGACTAGGGTGCCATTGTCCAGAAATTCAAAACGATTACGATCAGTATTATTATCACTCAAATATTCCAGATCTTTATCCCATTGTATAGTCGGCTTCGGATCACCGATAGCTTGACAGTGCATCATCGCCACTGCATTTATTGCAACTTCCAGTGGGCCTTCGGGAGCCACCGAAAATCGCGGTGCCACCACAACATTTATGCTAACAGTTGCATTAATTTTCCCTTGGGCATTGGTAGCATAACAAGTGTAATTTCCTCGATTTTCAGAAGACACATTTTTAAAAGTTAACGTTCCATTGATATCCTCAATACTGTCGGGCAAAGGATCTTCTAACTCCTGGCATAAGGAAAATTTTAAAACAATATTAAAGACAAGGCTTAATAGTGAATAGTATTAAATAAGAATTGAAAACACTTAGTACAAAAAATATATAATGCAGGGAGTAAAGAGCTGTACTGAAAAGTAGTGATCGTCTACTCTCACCAATGCCTTAATGTTTATTATTTATGTTTTTACCTTCAACCACTGGACTTGAGGCGTCGGTGTACCCTGGGCTTTACAATGCACCTTGCCGACCGAGCCCAGTTCCAAGTTCTTCGAAGAGGTAGGTTGTGGCATAAACTTCAGTTGCTCAATCACTTCCAGGATACCTGTATCCGAAATAACGGGCCGAAATCCACTGGTAACAATTTCACAAGTGTACTGTCCTGCATCGCTGGCAACAATGCTACTAAATGAAAGAGAACCATTCTGACGGCTTAAAAATACACGCGAATCTTTGCTATAATCAGCTCCAGCAGCAACGGAAGTTTGTGCCAAATCCACTTGACGTATAACTTTGCCATCCTTTCGCCAACGCAGTAAAGTTTCCTCTTTGGCCAGTTTTTGCGACATATTGTAAGCACATGTCAATTCCACGGACTCGTTTTCTTTAACTGCCACACGTTTCGATGGTCCATTTAAAATCCTAATATTTGTTGCAGGCAGTTCCATATTTGCATCATTTGAATCGCCCCGCTTACCGCGGCACAAGAAAATTTGCTTCATATTTTCATATAGTATGTGATTTTTCTTTAAACGAGGTAAACAGTTGGAGGAAGATGGCTGATAGGAACCAAGAGCCTTATTTTCCCCCCATTTGAGAACATATCCCTTCTTGCTCATCACTCGGCCAGCCTCATTAGAAGCGATGCAACGATACAGACCATTGTCTTGATAACTAGGATTATTTATAATCAAACGATTCTCTTGCAATTTGATGTTTTGAAGAGTGCTCAACTTTTCGCTGTTACGAAACCATTCAATTTCGGTTAGTCTATCGGCTGAAGAACCCTCGACATGACATTTAAGTATAACTTGATTATGTTTACTCTCTAGGAATTGAACAAGTGCCGCTTGAATCCCTAAAATTGCAAAGAAAAGAAAATAATAAAAATATTAATTTTATTTCCTATTCAGGATAAGAGATCAGCTTTTCAGAAGCGTGATTAATAAGGCATTTGACTAGTTTTTATTTCTCTCTTTACGACCATTACGAATGACCATCCACTCACTGTCCCTTATATATGTGGACTCATCGACAGTCAAGAAGGATTATAGGCAAGAGAGGAAATCTCTACTGCCGTGTATGGCACGAAAGTCATAGAGAGTAGACTGATCTGTTTTAAATTAAATGCAAGCAAACTGTGCTGCTGTAAATATAGTGGCAAATTCTCGCCGGAAAGTATAGAGATAACAATTTAGAAACTCAGTACTGAACCGTAACTTTCTGAGAATCCCACGCTTTTCGCTTGCTAAACAAATAAATAAAGATATTTAAGAATGCGCTTTGGTCACAGAGTTTGCAGTTTTTCGCCTACTCGTTTATAGGCGCTTGTTTACATTTCAAATTATTTCTAAATATAAAGGAACACGATCAGTTTATGTTTCCAAAATGGAAATTTCATTCCTTACCGACATAAATAAATAAATAAGAATTTTATAATGTAAACATATTCAGATTTTATTCATAACCGATCATACCTTACACTATTCGTGCTGCAGGCTATATTAAGTTAATGTGGGCGTGTGTAACACCCGAAGACGCACATTTTATTAAATCGATCAATTCAGAATCATTTTCTAAATCGATGTAAGCCTGTCTGTCTGTCCATGTATTTTTGTATTCAACCTACAACTCGCAATTTTTGAGATATTTTGATGAAATTTAAAGCAGTGCCGTGTTTTTTTTATTCGAAAATGGTTCGAATCGATCAACTTTTTCGACCACTCCCTATGTAACGTCCTATTCTGATAAGTCGTTATATGGGAAAAAATTGCCAAATTTTCAAAATTTCTCGCAAAAGTTACCAAGTATTTCGGCGGTCTAAACTTTGGCCAGATTGGGGCAATTTTTGAACCTCCTCTCATATAACGAAAACCGAATTCCATACGACAGAAATGTCCAATTTCGAATACCATACGATTAGAATTATATCATAATAGTAACTTAACATAAAAAAATTAACTATACCAAGTATGAACTACCTCGGCCTATTTTTTTGATCCTACGCCAATAAGGATTTTCACGAAAATTGATCCTTTGTAGAGTAGAAAAGTCAAAGTTTCAGTATGTGGTGATGAAAATTGCCGCATAATAGGAATTTCATATAAAAATAGGCATTGTCTTAGACAATGTGGCTTAGGGTATTTAATGATCGACTGTATTGTATGTTCTTATTTGTTTTCAATATTAGTTTACTGCAATTTTTTTTGTTAAACCAGACATTCCAACGCCAGTATGTAATCGAATGCGAAAACACAGATATAAATATCATTTAGAGAAATTATTTACTTGGATAGTTTACAAAATCTAAATTTAATAATATTTTTTATTGAATTAAAAAACTAACATATGAATCCGAATTATTTATTTGCGATTTCTAGCCATATTCGTCGAAAAGCGAAAAATATTAATGGTGAATACCAGTATTTGGATCAATCAATATTCTGGGTTGTCATCGTAGTCATGCGAAATTTTGACTCAGCGGTTATCACGACGAATTGATAATTGACGTAAGCTTCTCGAAATTTTTTTATAACCTTTTTTCTGCCTACTTCCTTAGTACTTACCCTACACGGTTCTATCGAGCATACGTTTATGCCTTACACTCCTTGCAGTGTAGAATATGTTAAGTTTGTGCGAACGTACCTAACTACTAAAAGAGCTTAAGTTAGACCCACCTATTATTATACCTATCGACCTTAATTTCTGTCTGCCCGTTTGATATATGCCCTTGTAGTTTTTTGCTTCTTCCTACAAGCTATTTTCATGAAAAATGACGCACTAACGTGCTTTCGCCCAAGTATGAACATAATTGACGAATATTCGAATCGGTCCGCTTTTTCGATCATAGCCATTTGCAAAATATATCTCGACAAAAGACGTTGAGTAATAGTATTCTGACTTTTTATGGATGATAATATTCCTCGTAAGATGGTTTGGAAGAATCTCTAGAAAATTGGCGTTAGAAAGAGTCCAATAGTGTGTGAACTTGATTTTGAAACATTGAATTAACACTTCTCGAGATTCAACTCTTATGTAGATTATCGAAACCGTGCCTTATTCGTGAATCAGGTTGTTATATATCGGTGCTGTAAAACTTTTCAGTGTAAAGACATCACCGAAGACGAAGTATGTTTGGCTGTGCACAGCAATAAATCAAATGCTGTCGGTCATGATAATATTGGCATCAAGTTTATTAAGCTGATTCTCCGAAGTGTTATTACACCTTTGAGTCATATATTTAATCACATAACAGCAACTTATTTATTTCGCGACTGTTGGAAAACAGATGTGAAAAATTTGATTGGTATGGGTCAATTTATTGAACCCCTCTAACACTAACTCTTTATCCATAACGTGGAAATCAATCTTATCGAATTTGCAGCAGATAGGTCTACTCTTTGGGATCCCATCGCGTATAAGTGTTCTCATAATTAATAAACCGTTATCTAAAAAGGTCTACTTTGACATAAAAATTAACAGGATCAAATTTGAACAACGTGGGTCTATTTCTTGACCAGCATTCTCTATAAGATTTCCAATGACGAGTCTTTCACACCTCCTCGAATATCAACAACACTTTTGAAGTCTCTCGTATCTTTTCTGTCATTGAAGCAATAAAGCCGAATTGAAGAATAAACCTTTTTAGATGAACGAAGATGTGTGTGTCTCATTATTAAATATATTGCCGTAAAATTTGAAAGCATATCTCAGTTAGGATACTGTCAGTTTAAGCAAACAACTATTCATTGCGATAATCTCACTGAAAAACAATGCGGTGATCAAAAATTCGAGCTCCGAAGCGTATTTCTCGATGTTAATTCCAAAGTCATCAATATTACGGAAATTATTAATTCATCACTCGGAGCTTCTCTCTAGGGGCGACACGGATCAATGCATAGCAGGTCTTAACTTTCAACAAACACGCTTTGCCATACAATACATGCAATGAATGCCATAACATCCACGATTTTTTAAATATATCTTATTACCCTATTAACATTATATCAAATTAAATGAATGATAATTGCTTTTAAAATTTGAATGCCGAGGCATTTATGTCATTTTGAATCACAATGAATCTGAATGCCATGGCATTCACGTCCGGTAGCATGTTATTCGAGCACAACTTTACAGCTTTAAGACTTTTAACCAAAGCTTAACACCTTCAACCAAAGGGCGGACAAGCAAACATGTTCAAACCAAATTGGAGTTTAGCACAGTACACATTCCTCGAGCTTTACATGCTACTCGCTTGCTATGTTTTCTATTTTAGGCTAGTTTTGGAACCAACATTTTCAGAAAAAGAAATAAAAAAGAAATAGAAAGAAGACCGGATTTTACTGCTTCACAAACCAATTTCCTATCAATTTTTTTTATTTACTCAGTATGACATGCAATAGTTTTCGTTTTCGACTTTCGAGATTTTGAAAGCCATTTGTCGAAACGAGAGAGAGGGTTACTTCTTGAAGCCACTTCTTAATGTTGCATAGGTTAGCGATCAAGTATTATCGTATGGTAAAAATTGATTGATTGAAACTTAATCGAGTTTCAATGTAAATAAAATGCAGAAATTCTTCAGTTATGCCTAATCAAGGAGAAAATTATTCGTTTGAAAACTAATATATATGCCAAATAAGCTAACAACAAATTTGGGTGCATGTGTGTATGCATATGTTCGCGTAGGATTACATTTCTTAGATTTTAGCTAAAATTTATGAAATATGATGATAGCAATCGGAATTTCTTAAGGTGAAAGAATTGTGGATTCTTCTTGGGTTAAAGACAAAACTGTTCTTTGTTTTCATGAAAAGTTGGCGAACGAAATAAATGCAAAATAACTCGTCACAGTAAATATTAATAAAAAAAATATAAAAAAAGACAGAACAAAAAGTAATAATAAAACGGGGATTGGGTACCCTGAAGCATGGTAGACAATCAACATCACTAGCGCTAGACAACAACAAGAACAACAACAACAACAACAACAACAACAATAGTAACAAATTGAAACGATGACGATGACTTTAGAAAGCAAATCCATATATGAAAGTGTCTGACAAACACGGGGTGGTTTTTGTTGTCGTTGTTTTTGTTTTTGTCCGGACTTAGTGAATGGTTGACTGGTTGTGGATGCTACTGCTCATATATTATTATATACATATCAACGATTCAGGCTACGAACCACCCAATCCACCCACTTCACAAATAAACAGACACCCCACACATTTACTCCACTCGCACGAGTCAGCCTATACAGTGAGCGAAATTTTTTAAAATACACAGAATATTTATGCTACGATTCTACTTTATTAGGAATTTAGTTTACTTTATTAGAGATGACAGGCAAATATGAAAGAGAGAGAAAGAGAGAGAGAGAGAGAGAGCGAGCGAGGATTAAAAGACAAAAGTTTTCTATTTTATTTATTTATTTATTTTTCATCTTTTTTTTTTTTTTTTTTTTTGAGTGTAAGGCAGAAAGAACAGCTGAAAGTTCAACCATTAAAACATACGATTTTATGGAAGAAAAACAACAAAGAACGGAAATAAAATACAATACAACCAGCGCGCACATCCCCAAACGCAATATATGCTGTTATACATGCCACATAGACAAAAGGATCAAGTTTAGAAGTCGGCTATAGCTAGCTATTGCTTATACACTTAATGATAAGAACGCATACAAAAACACTGCGTAGAGTTGTCATAACTAAAACTTAATAATCACAAAAAATCAGAATATTTGTATTAATATTAGAACAAGGAAACAAAAGCAAAAGAAAGAAACGGAATATTGAAGAGAGAGAAAAAGAAAATATTGAATGTATCTAAATTATAGGCAACTCAATGGTATAACAGGCCAGATGATTATGTTGGAATGCCTCGAACATCCGCGCCCATTTTGCTTTGAAATTTCAATCGATGAGCTTAGTGCTTAGATCTTTTTACACAACTCCGTGTCATTCATTAGAAGGTTGCGTGTTACCGAGACCAAGTTAATTAAAGTTTTGAAATTTGAAGTAAGTCTGAGAAGATAGATGAACAGGCCTATAGGCATATGGACCGATTTTATATTCACTTTAACGCACTACACTTACAAGCATTTACTCGGTGCTATACGTCTCTCCGGTTAACACAAGTACATAAAAAATAGCAAAACTATATTCGAATTTCAAATGCTTCTCACGATGAATCGGCACCACTAGCGAACATGTTTTATCTAAACATTTTTACCTTACCTTTAAAAGAAAATAATATAATTTTTTTTTTAATTTTTTTAAATAAAATTTTTATTTTAGTAATCATAGGACTGTTATGTAATTTACATAAAATAAAGATCCCGCACAGATATTCGTTAAGGGGGAACTTTTTCATAGAATGCGGCGTTGTGGTAAAGCTCGCAGTAAAAATATGCACATGTAAGCTATCCTTCTTATCTCTAAGTGTTACAAACGCAAGGAAAAACTTAACATAAGCAAACGTATCTGATATTGGCGAGTATACAAAAAAAAAAAAAAGAAAAGGAAGATTATTCGACCATAAAAAAGTAAAAGAGAGCCGTAACTTGGAAGCGAATGAGAAACATTTCGAGGACACTCCGGCATACACGCCGGGCAGAATGAAACCCTAAGAACAGCAATGAAAACACGTAAATATTTGAAGAAACTTTGGCGTTTGAAATAATCCAAAACCAACCCAGTATACATAACAGCAACGATAACAAAAAAGAAAGAAGGAAACTCATAAAATTTTATGTGTACCGTAAAAAAAAAAAAAAAAAAAAAAAGAGAAAATATTAAGTGTGCAACTGCGACTCCCTCGATATAAAATCTGAAATTTTTTTTCTTTTTTTTTTTCTATTCATGCAAGACGCCTTTAAGTGAATGAGTTTTTTTTTTTTTTTTTTTTTTATGCTACAGTCTTACGGATAATTACAATATTTGTTTTTATCTGCAATTTCTCCGGCGACTAGTGCTGGTATTCTAAAATACTTGCAATGTCTTGTAATAAAGGTTATGAGCAGCATAAAATTCTTGATTTATTTGTTTAGTTTATTAGTGAATTAGTCTACGGAAATCACTTTTATCCTTATCATGCTCTCAAGAAGAGCATGCTAATCTGCAATCTCTTGTTGCCATCTTAATTTGATTATGAAAAAGATGTTAAACGGTTCAATTGGAAATGAATTGATTTTAAAAGACAAAAATAACATGTATACCACGTATAGACTTTGTTTAAACAGATGCGTTATCGTTCTTAACTATGAAAATATTTTCGACAAAACATTCGCTTGAAACCGCATAAAATCTGTTTTGCAACTTATTGCTTATGTTATTGAGTTAAGTTAATTAAAGTATGTATGTATGTATGTAAAAAACAAAACCATATTTTATGCGTTGGTCTTTCGATTAATCGTTAAGTAAATCGACTAAAATCGCTGATACATGTTTTTCACAGTGCAATGCTGCATACAATGCTTACATAAAATCATTTCCAATACTTACATATAATGCTTAAATGTGCTTCCGGTGAAGCTTGTCGCGCCCCATTTTCCACATTGGTAGCTATGCACACGTAGTTACCGGCATCACTTTCACGCCGGACTGCATCGATATGCAAATCTGAACCGTTTTGATAAACACGTGTGGAGTTCTGCAAGAGTTGACCTGAGATTTGAAAGACGAGTCATCATTACCCACAAGAGATATACATTTGTTTCGTTTTCTATTTAAATATACTGACCATTTAATGTCCATGAATAGATCAAACCACGTGTCGGCGTAGCGTGGCAAGCGAAATCGGCTGAATCACCTTCTATTACGGTTTGATTCTGTGGCAACGTTAAAAAACGTGAAAACGTCTCCGCCTGGGTTAAGTCTGAAATGTAAAAAACAAAAAAAAACAAAATTTTTTAAGTTAAACTATCCAAAGCAAAATTAGTTCTTTGATGAGTTTAACTTGGGTCTTGAGTATATATGTGTTCAACGATTTAAGGAAACGATTTACAATAAAATATATTGATCCGCCTGAGTAGCCGAAGGCGAGGAATCTCGATTAGCAAGTCAATGGTCGTGGGTTCGAATCTCCAAGTGCGGTAGAGTTTTTAATAAGAGCCGATGCTAGTGCTTTTAACAGTTTAGTCTTAGAATTTATTTCTCTGGCGAAATTAATAATAATAATAAAATATATTGAAGCTACTTCGACCTTCAAATGCCCTACACCGATTCGCCTAAAAAAATGTTCCTTTAATACTTGTATCTTGTTATGCAGGCTTACTTTTCGTCAGAGCACTTAAATGATGGCGGGTCGAACTGACGTGAACTTGACGGCATCCAAATTGAACAAATTTAGTACTATTAACAAAAAGCTTATTGTTTTTCGCCTCTTTTCGTTACAAACTAGAAGTAAAACATGCCTTGTTAGAATAAAAAGTCTGACTTTTCTGACATGAGAAACCTTACATGCGAAGGGGTAATCAAAGTTTTGCACAATAAATTTATATGGCAAACCGCTATACTGTATCAATTTGCGTAATAAAATGTTGCAATTTGATAACGAAAATGGTTGCAATGCGTCCCACATCTCACATGTTTGCTTACCCCATGCCAAAGTAAGATTTTCCTCCGATCTTTGTTGAAAAATTATTAAAAATTATATAGAAAAATTTTGTTCATGTAATGAATTTCCAGATCTGAGCGATCATAAGATAGGAAAGACAAACGGACAAACGAATGTATCCTTACCACGAATGGTATAGAGCATAAAACACTATTACTAAAACAGCTTGCGCACACTAAACCAAAAATGTTATGGCGAAAACTGCAATTCCCATCAGGAGACTTTGTGTAAATCCATTGTGTTAGCAAGTAATTCACTTACAACAATATTTTCAAAAATTATCGTTCCTCTTTTCGGGGTTTCAGGTGGGAATCGCATGCGTTTAGCTGATTATTTCCAATCTCAAATATGATACCAAGTCTTAATGGGGACATGGGTACAATGCTTAGTCTTTTCATTTCAAATTTTAATGCCAAACAGCAGAAAACCGATAAACCATGGAAGGGATGGAGCTGCAAAGAATCTATTTGTAGGGAATTACATAGGATGTGGTGGTTGGTATGCTTTATATTACGGGCACTAAATGCTATATGCGTGATTGTATTGGAAAAGTTATAGATAGATGCATTGTGAGCATCGTCCTAACCGTCCCGTCAGTCTTGCACTAAGGTAAAGGATACCATCTTAGATTAGGAGTAAGATAGTAATAAGCAAAGATTAAAGGGCGCTTTAAGCGGACGTGCCGAACGCCGAGATTAGGGCATTAGAATCCCGCCAACTTTAAAGGAGAGAAAATATAAGGTTTCGACAAAGAGCAGTGAAGAGCAGTCTAGTTGTAGTAGTCGAGTTGAGCAGCCGTGGCCCTCGAGGTCGGATTGCATTCTAATTAAGTCAAATTGAAGACATCTAAAGAACAAATAAAGTCACCTAAGGTAAAACGTGAAAACATAATCAATGTGAACAATGAAATCGGACTCAAAGCTAATCGAACCAACTTATGTAAAATTTCTAATTAATAAAACTTAATCTTAATTTAGTTTGCCTTAAACCTTTGCACTCGAACGGCGTCCGAGCGGCACCATCCTATTCAATACTGCAACTCGAACGGCGCCCGAGAGGCTCCATTACTATTTTTGATAATATTGTATGTTAAATTGTAAAAGCGTTGTAAACTTCTTTACTTGATGTGATGAGATTAGTCCTAGTGAGATTAGATTCTACATCTGCAACTACTGATAACAGTATCCGAATAAATGGTAAGCTACATGTGATGCAAAAAGGAGAAAAAAAGAGATTGGAGAGTGTACTCCGACCGAACGAAAAAGAAGAGCAGAAGAGGTGAAACGGTGTATTATTGTGACACATAGTCCTGAAAATCCTAGGATACACCTTGGAGAGTGCTTCCTCAAATATCACACTAAGGAAAATTATAAAATTTGAAATTTGAACATGTTTCGGTTGCAAAGGGTTAATAGAAGAGTTCGAGAAGAGAATGAAGGAGAATCGAGTTATTTTGAGTTAGACTGTTGGATATAAGGATTTATTTCCAAATATTTTAAATGTCTTCACAATTGTAATAAAAAATCCTTAGGTAGATTGCTTTCATAGTTACGTGAGGATATAGCTGCACAGTTACAAAGAATATAACTGCATGTGCCATATTTCTATTTCTGCGGTGGGAGTATAATATAAGTACATAAAGCACAAGGAACTTATGCATTTGAGATCATTAAACTGTGCAATGAAACGTACACACACATACATGTGTCATTCACACATGCATGCACATATTATACGTTATAGTTAATAAAATATTATATAAAATACTAGAAAATCTATTAGATTTGCATAAATTTGTATGTTAATGAAGCGCTTAAGGACTACTTATGTCAAGTTTTTCTGACCGCAAGCGAATTAAATAAAAATTCGTTTAAAATACACAGGAGATTTAATAACACATTTACAACACACTGAAATACACTGATATACTTAGCCGGAGTAATAGTCTAAAAAACGTTAAATTTAAAAAAATGCTAGAAATTTGTTCATCCAAAGTATGTCTCATGGCTAATGAGGCATTTTCCACATGTTTTGAACAATTTGTGCATAATTCGGCTTTAGCCACGGAGCATTCAGTAAGGAATTTTCTGCGCTGCGCAACAAATGTTTACCCCATTGATGCGCACAAGTAGCAATCGGAAAGAGTCGAGTCTGATGAGTTAGATACATAGGTGAACTAAAGAATGGATGTTTAGAAAGGCCTTGACGCACATCAATAATAGAGAAAATCACTTCATTTGCTATTACGGTACCTCAGGAATAGTAGGGCCCCCTTTAATGGGAATTGTCCTACTTCTTGGAAGGCATCGATTATCGCTTGTCAAGATAACCCGCGGGAGGCCGTAGAATTAGACCTTGAAGGTAGGAACCCACGTAAAACTAAATAAGCAATCTATTCCGGTCCCAGCAAATACAGAGCATCCTCTCTGCTTACCATAACTATTCCGTCTTGCGATACATTTAATTACTAAACTGTGGGTCTACAGATAATCTTTTATGTCTCAAGATGAACTTACTTTTCATCCCCAGTAACGATACAAGAACACCCTCCTTTTGTATCATTCGAAGAAACAAAATGCAATCAGCGAACACCCTTTGCTCGGTATATAACTACTTATACTTAATGTTAAATAAAAATATTTTTATGACGTGATGCGTGTTGGTATTACGAGCGCTCAACGATGCCTAAGCCATAAAAAAAAAATAAACACAACTTCTATATGCGGTGCTAGTCAGCTGTTTCTCAAATTCTCTCACATTTCGTACTTCTACACCTGGTATATATATGAAAAGGGTGCAGATCCATTCTTCCAAGGGATCAAACGGCTTGCTCTAACGTTTACATTTCCGCCTTATCTTTCTATTCTATAATAATTTATGAATGTAAATTTAATACGTTACATATGTGATACACATTGTAATCAATTAATACATTCTAGGGTTAAATGCAAGTTACATGAATCAGATTTATACTTCAGTTTCTTAGGTCAGAGAAAAAGTTCTTTGGATGAAGACTGCCTAGCTACGGCGTTTTAGTAGGCAAAGACGGACACTTAAATTAGGTGATAGGTCATTTTGCAACTGAACGAGTCATTTGAAGCCATGCATTTCCTATAAAATATATCGATGCATGCGAACTTGACGATGGGCTATCGACCTAGAGTTTGCTCAATATATTGTCGCTTTTGTAAATTGATTTCTAAAATCTTAGAAAACTTATTAACCCTAATATGCTGGTAGTGCGAGCCTTTGGGTTTCATTTGACGTTTGAACTTAAAATTTTTATGATTATTTTATATCTGTAAAATTTTTTTATTTTACTTTAACTTAACGTTTAACACTAACAATACAAGTACTCAGTAAGTTTGGATTTAGTCAAGATATCAAATTTATTATTATTATTATTGTTATAAATTTAGCCGGAGAATAAATTCTAAGACTAAAGTTTTAAAAGAATTAGCGTCTAAGGCTTTCGGCTTCATTGAAAAGTCTACCGCAATTGAGATTTGAACCCGCGACCATTGAATTTTTAGTCGAGACTCTTGCCTACTCGGCCACTCAGGCGGATGATATCAAATTTAAACCTTTTTGTATTTACAACGAATCAAACGTGCCTCACACTTAGATAGTCAGAAAAGAATATGGTTCTTTGGACATGAACGACCAACTGACGGCCAAAACCCCTTGAAAATAGGGCTTAGGGTCGGATTACCCCAAAAATCTTAACTTCTAGGTGAGTGGTATAAATTTTAAGGTTTTTGGGACGACAAGGCATGTTTAAAATTCCGAGTTTCAGTTTTGAGCAAATTTTCTCTTTGCCTCCAACTGCATACATCTTCAATTACACCAAAGCTGTAATACAAGGCTGTTGTCTAGTTTCATGTAAGAATAAATGCAATGTTGATCTTACTGCATCTGCCTCATATGACTTCATACTATTTGCTTTACGTCGCTTGGAAAAGGATCCTTTCTTATCTCTATCATTGCATGAAAATACATTGAATCTTCTTCGTTTACATACTCGTGACAAAAGGAAATAAAGTGTTAAGTTCTTTTTTAGGTGATGTTTGTCCCCTGCTTTATTAGAACATGCAAATTTTAATGTTCCTAACAAGTTCTCAAGGTATTTTGTCTCCTTTGAAGGTGTCACAATGCCAAGCTAATTTTGAGGTCTTTAGTTGTTCCCGCATGTTCACCTACTTGATTTTTTGATCTAGTCCGCTAGTATGATTGACTGGATTTTATTACGTAACTAACTACTTATCTGATGGTAACATCAGTTTTTCCAAAACCCGTCACGTCTCAAACATAACGCACGGTATCTGCCTAAGAAAATAATGAACCCTTTACATCGTAGTTTATAACTTTTGTACATAAGTTCTTCTTTATGGATATGCTAATGCCTTTATCCACATAATTACTACTCTTCGCATTGCATGTTATCCTCCTTTTTCAGTGTAAGGAGTGGTACGAAATGTTATATATAATCAGATAGCTTGTAAATCTAGGTATTGCAGCTTTTGCTTATGGACCCTACAAAATTTGCTTAGATCATAAATAACCTTAGTTTTCTCTTCACTTGTTCTAATTAACGAAAGAAGGTTCTTTAAAAGGATTAGATTGTTCCCATACGCATGTCGACGTTTAATGACCCTACCAGCGAAGAATACGGGTATAATCACGATGTTTTTTCCTTAATTTATTTAACACCCTAAAGGTAGATTCAAAGACTCTACAAAGTTTATATATTCTTGATCAGCGTGAAATTCTAAATTGATCAAGCCATGTCTGTAGGTCTGTTTGTCTGCGCGTTGCTGGCATTCTCCTGATCGCAAAAATAAAGATATCGACTTCAAATTCGGTAGAAACATTGCAAGTCTTTGTACGGAGATCAGTATTAAAAATGGGCCAAATTGGTCAGAGAAGAAGCATGGAGTGGAGCGTAAACTGAATGCAACTTCGCTTTTCTTTACAAAAAATTTGTGGATTTTTGCTCGTTACTTAAAAATTATAAAAGTAAGAAAGAAGACTGAACTTCGGCCACGCCCACACAATGTTATAAGTGATTAAATTTTATTTATTTTTGCAATTATATGTTTATTTATATATATAACGCAAACAAGACAGAACGTTTAAAACTATTTTGTATATTCCTCAAGTGAAGATATATTATCTGCTTAACTATGAGTTAATTCTAAACGGATATGATATACACAGCGATTAATTTTTTCTTAATAATACCAGCGATATGAGTATCAAATAAAAGAACTTGGAATAGAATGCGAAAAGCTTTGTGGTGGGTATGCGAGGTTCAGCCCCCGCCGAATATAGCTTTTTTTCCTGTTTTTTAAGTGGAATGCATTCACAATAAGACTACGACTTGTCCAAAACAATTCAAACAACAAGTTTGATGTTTACCTTATAAGTCCGTAGCTGGTATACCCAAAATCAGGTTGAAACAAGCTTCAAATAAGCAAAAACTATACGTCAGATAGGAATTCGAAGTTTGCGAGGAAAATTTAAAGGATTGAGAGACAGGAGGCAATCTAAAAAGATTGAATTTAGATTTCTTGATACATTTCTTAATGTTAATGAATGTTAGTGTTAACCCTAACATTCGTATAGCAAGTTCAAAATGTTGAAAATTTGCAACGCAGTCGAGGAAGAGATTGGTTGCGTAGGTCCCACTCTTCATTGAAAATTGCGTATTGAAAGTTCAACTACCCAAAAATTAAATTACGAGGAGTCTTTCTTTCCACAGAGTAAGTCTTAAAAGTAAACACAAAAAGACATCGTACTTTCCTGACCAGCGTACGTTAGCAAATCAGCTCAATCCCACTTCATTCTTTAGTTTCTATCCGTTTGTATACCCTTATCTTTCCTATTGCCGTCTGACTGCCATTGTCTAACGAGTCCGGTCAGATATTATAATTTGTATTAATGGTAAATAGTTAAACACATTCATTGCCTGCATGAATGCAAATGCACTACTCATTTACGTACATATATAGTAAATGTACAAAATCTATTTTTTGAAGTCTTGCATGCACCAAGCATTCAACTATTGAAAGTTTATTAAGTGCCAATAAGTTCGATAAGCTATTGAAAGTCCAATGAGCCGGGATATGCAGCTGCAAACTCTTGTAAGGATGAAGGCACCACACGATTGCGTACCAGTTTATTTCATACTATTACTGTTTACTGTGTACTCGTTTGTCGTACCCTATCTGTAGATATGTGAATGTTGTTCAAGCATAAATACTTACATCTAATGCCACATATTAGCATCAATAGTTGAAGTAAAATTAATGCATTGAGAACCATTTTAAGTTAATTATTATTTAATTGCACTACACGAGATGTTGCGAGATTTCTACAAACACATCAACTGAGTACATATTTAATTTTTTTATAGGGTTTTGCCAGACACAGGATCAGTTTTTATTATTTATAATTTTTATACGCTTGCACCGCTCTTTAGTTGCTTTGATGGATTTCACGTCGATCAGTACAATAGTTGGTTTTTTTATAAATATCATACCAATTTATATGTATATTTATATATATATATATATGTATGTATAGCATTAGCAAATACATATTCTTAGAGAGTGTAGTGTTATATGATGAGTGCCTTGGTTAAAGGAAATGCCTTTAAACATAAAAAAGTTGTTAAATATTTATCACACATTTGAAATTTTGTTTATTCTTGAATACAGTTTATTTTCAATCGGTAATTTTGTTGTCTGCTTGTTGGCTTTATTTGTTTACGTGGATTGCACTTCACTCGCGCCGATATCTATTAAATGACGTTGTGGAGTTATGCGCATACAAAGCCGCCTCGTATCGAGTTATCATCGAGAATTGTAAATGGCTTCGTTGTTGTTGTTGTTGTTGTTGTTGCTGTTACTGCTGCTGATGTACTATTAACTTTAGGTTTTTTTTTTTTATATATATTTTTTTTATTTTTATTATTTATATATGCATGTATATGCGTGATTGTGTTTGTGCGTCGCTGCACTAAACACATTACAAAAGAAGAAAGCGGGGCATGCAGTCAAGCTAACATCAAAGAAAAATCCAAATACTGTGCTGCTAGCTAGCACTTGGGCATAAACTCTGGCACCTTTAATGCATTGAAGTACATATTTATGGGTTCAATTAGTTGCCATAGAGTAATACACGTATTCATCCACTAAATGGACACATTTATATATTTGTATTTGTGTGTTGTGAAGTTTTATTTATTTGTTCTTTTATTTTTTATTTTATTTGGTTTATTTCTCATCTGCGCGTTCGTTACTTTAAAAGGTTTCTTATAAAAAACTCGGGAATAAGAATCATTTTTATACATGCATGCATGCATATATACATACATAAACAGAACACCAGACAAGCTATATTGTATTCGTAAAAAAAAAAAAAAAAAACAAAAAAAAAAAAAAATCGCTTTCTGCAAACGTAAGGAAGAAGAATAGCGCGTAGAGGCGAACAAAGAAATTGTTGTGTGTATGTGCGATTGCTTGTCTTAAGATGCCGTGGTAAAAATTGCGTATATCCGCATTTTATATACTTATGTATCTATATATACGTTAACATATCATCGACGTTAGCAAACAAGTAAAGTAAGACAACAACAAAAACAAAAACTTATTTTAACTTTGAACTTTTTTTCATCGACTTTTAATTTATTTATTTTATGTTTTTATTTGTTTCATTTGAATTTGTTCTTCGTTTTACGCAGAACTCAAAATCGTTTAATTAAAATAATACTTATTCGTCACATATATGTGCAGGGATATGTATGCCCTTACATATGTACACAATCTGAAGAATACAAAACATAATAACTCACAACAATTGTATTATCAAAGTTTTTCTAAACCTTAAAAAATTTTATCCGTGAGATACAACCATCCTCGTTTACCGGCCGTCAAGTACTAAAACTAAAGTATATTCCTTCTTGTCGTGCACTCAATAGTTGGAAAGCCGGTTCTCGCAGACAGCCAACGCAACTCTGACTCTTTTTTCTTTTTTCCTTTAAAATGAACATCTCTGCGTATTTGTGGAGTATCCGAATACCTTATGTCGGAGATAAGTAAATGACAAGATGATCCAACATTTGATTTAAAAATTCAAACGAGCAGATTATTAAGGACTTTTAGTGTTTCTGTAAGCAACAGCATACATATAGTAACCCTGCTAATTAGTAGAAATTTGTTTTCTTACTCTCTCATTCTCATTAGTAGGGCACAAATTCTGTTAATAGTTACTTGATATGTCGTCATATTCTCTCAAATGATTGTAAACATTCACTTAAAGGAACAGACATGTATACGTTTCCACCGTTAACAGAATCTTTGCCGATACAAATAATGAGCAAAAGAAATGGATACTAATTAACAGAGTCACTACTGCCGCTGATAGCAGAAACATACAAAGTCTGTAATAATCTCCTATCTGTAATTGTGAACAGTGATGAGAATGAGAGAGCAAAAAGTCAAATTTCTGCTAATTAACAGTGTCACTACTGTTGCTGATAGCAAAAACATACACAGTCTGTAATAATCTTCTATTTTGAATTTTGAACAAAATGTTGGAACATCTTGTCATTGTTTCTGCTTATGTCCAAACATTCATCTGGATTACATACACAATACTATAAATACACAAATATCTCTTGCCATCAATAGGTACAGTAAAAATAAAGAAAAGATAAATAGAAAATAATAAAAGAGAGTGTAAAGATAAATATACAAAACTCCTGTGTAAGCCGAGAAATTTGTGTAATGCATTCGTATTGGAAAGCTGTTAACTCTCTCGCTCGCTGCCTTACTCTTCCTTATACACTGTCTGCACAAAGTATGCGTACGAAGCATGTAAGTGCATTGAAGTGCGCTTCGCTTATCGCTTCTCTTTACTTTGGAGATTTCAAGTGGCAACATAGCAAAAAAAACAACATAAGATGAAATTTCAGAAAATAACAGCTAAGGACCATACGTTGATAATACAAAATCGCGCAACTTTGCTAACATTAATCTTAACAAGCCGCAATAAGGCATTCTTAGAAGCGAATCATCCCTTAAAAATTGATAAATTAGTCGAAAAAATTATCAAAAAATATCTTACAATATCGTTTCGATCGAGACAGTAGCACCTAGCCGACTTAGGAAGAGCTTCGTATCGTTTGTGGTGAAAAGCCTTTACCAAAATCAGCAGAGTGCAAACTGCTCACCCATCTCTGCTATGAAAAGTTCAACGTTAACGATCCCCCAATGGTTGGGAAAGTCGATAAAGTTCGTCGAAACCTTGAGACATTTCATCTCACAATATTGCTGCGAAACTAGACATAGTTTAAAATCCGTTTTTGAACTATTTATGTAGAATTGAAAAGTAGCTCAATATTTAGGAGACGAAACGAAATCGATCTCCAACATGAGTACCATATCTAGAGTCAGCAGCTAATGCGAGTAACAGATCGAGGTGAAATGTCATTTAATAGAAAAGTTATGATCCTCGATCATGTCAATGCCAATGATTAATGAAAATTAAAACAAAATTTTGAAGATTTTGATGCCAATGAAGAGATCGTGAACAGATCGCGTGTTTTACGTATAATCTTCGTCCTTTGACGTTCAGTTCAAAAAATCAAAGAAAAATAAGGAGCAAATTGGACGTTTTTTCATGACACAATGAACAATAACATCATACAAACGTGAATAAAAACGAAAGTATATTAAAATTTTTAATAAAATGAAGTAAAGTCAACTATTAGGCACTTTCAGCAAAACAAACAGAGGGAGAAACGAAAAAATACAAACAGTGAGTTAAACGGAAACATAATGCTTGCGTTATGCGTTCTGCGTGGCTCACGCACAGTCAAAATGTGCACTTAAATGTATGTAGACGCCTTAGCTCGCATTGCTTTGCAATTCAGCGCAAGTTTTTTGGCAAACTAATAAAATCTTACATGCCTTGGTATTTGACAGACAAAACAGTGATGTATTTATGAAACCAAAATAAAATCCTGTGATTCATATTTCAAGCACAATATGATTTTAAAGATATGGTTCTAGATTTTCATTTAAAAAAAAGAAGAGAAAATCAAACTAATGCATATTGCTATCTATTTCTATAGTGGAAAAAAGTTTTTTTTCGTTTTATTCATTGCATTTTATTTCAAAAAAATATTTTGCACTACATTAACGTTTATCTAAACAAACGGTAAAGTAAGGCCATATGAGCTTACCTTAGCAACGCACGCAAGCTATGTGTCAAGTGATTTTATATTATGCATTCTGCTTAGTGCACAACCGACGTGTTTTACACTTTACGCTGCTTCAAGGGTAGTTAGGCCAGCGTATGCGCGCGCAGTTAAGCAAGCAAAAGGACAATACGTAAGTTATTTATTTATTTATTTTCTTTTTGTCATTTAGATAAATTCACTTCAATTATCGTCAGTGCTACTTACACATTAATTATCAATATTATTTTGTTACATATTCATCGTTTGAGGGAAGGTCAAAAAAGAACTGATAAAGTTCTAGTCGCTGACATCTCTTCATTACTATTTTACACGTTTAGATGTTTAATATGATCTGATGAAGAGACCTTTGCAAATTTATATAAATTTTTTTCTTTTTAAAATTTAAATAATAATTTTTTTAAATTATTTATTTTACTTCAGCTGCTTCTATGTAAAACAATTTTGTTTGGAATTTCCGTTTTGAGTCGGGAGAAGACAAGCAACATTGGCATGTAACTCAACTAAAAAAAAACTATTTTTTTTAAATAACTTTATTAAGATTCAAACAAAGAACTTCATGTTCATCTGGAATCTTTTTCACACGCTCAGCGAATCATCGTTTGTTAATTTGCTAAATTCCATAAGAAAAGGAGGTTCGAAACTTATTTTGTTTTCCATTTACAACTGTTTTCTCGTACAAATGCAGCTCTGGTTAACCAATATTAATACAAAATGTGAGGCATTTACGTTAAGCAAAAAAAGTCGAAATTCGCTGATGAAACTTAATTCTCGCCATACATAATTAGTACACAAATTTCATTCAAAAAATCCCTCTTTGCAGAACTCAGGAGGTTCACTCCGGTTAGCATAGCAGAGCCAGTGCGCTTGTTTGTTTGTGTGTATCGCAGACAAAAAGTAATTACGTGTTGACCTGGCAAAAACGTACAGCCGTTTGGAATTACTTTAATCGTTTTCGCAAGTACAGTGAGTCTCACTAATATTGGATTTTTTTCGCTCCAAAAAAAATCTAAACGATTATTAAGTCTTGCATACAAATTTATTTTAGTATTTTGTTAGGCAATGCTTATCGAAATATGAAAGAAAACAAACCAGTAAACAAAATATTATTCCAATGGA